TATAGATATTATGCATCCTTTTGCAATAGATTTTCGCAAAAGAGGAAATAGATCGTACAGTCATTTTATTTTGCGTAAGAGTGCCAGTCTTGTCGCTGCAGATAACGGCAGTGCATCCCAGAGTTTCGACAGCCTCGAGATTCTTCACTAAGCAATTCTTACTGGCCATCCTCTTGGCAGTCAAGGTCAGGCTGACTGTCATCGTGGCGATGATGCCCTCCGGCACGTTCGCCACAATTATACCGATCAGAAACAATACTGAATCGATCCAATTATGTCCCATCGCTATGGACATGATAAAGAACAAAATGCCTAGAAAAATAGCCCAGCATGAGACTAGTTTCATGAAGCGAAATATTTCTCTAGAGAGAGGCGTAGGTCGGGTCGGTAATCTTGAAGTTAACTTGGCCACTCTGCCCATTACAGTATGATCACCACAAGCCACTACAACGCCTTTTCCGCTGCCTTAGAGAATTAATTATATTTCATATAGCAATTATTCACTAAATCTGGATTTAATAGTCATTTAACACGTTTTTTAAATAAAATAAAATATTGAAAGTAATAAATTTTTTAAATTATTAAAAATTAAGACTTATATAAGCTATAGTTTATATACTTTTTTTGTTCATGAGAGCGAGAAACAAATTCTTTAGATCATACTATGGTAAAATATTTTTCTTTTCTTTAAACAGTGTACCTTCGACAACATTTGTAGAAAAAAATATCATATTCTTCGCTTGAATAACACTTCCGGTTTGCGGAATGTTCGCCGTTCGTATCAATGGTATCGATTCGCCCGTAACTGATGCATTATCGACTTTCAAACCTTTATTAAAATGACAAAATTATTTTCTACAAATAATTAAATTTACAATTTTTATTATATTTTTATAAGATTTTGTTAACTGAATTTAATTAACGTGTTCACAATGCAAGTTAGAAGTGCACAATAGAAAAATTATTAAATAGAGATTAATTTCTCACATTAATTTAATTATCTAAACAGAAAAAACAAAACTTATTGGATGAAAAAGGTTGAAAAATTGTTTGTATTGTATTTTCAATTTTGTGTTCTTTTCAGTGATGTATAATTCCGTATTTATGTTTTTTTTTTTCAAATATAATTCTTCTCTGGACTTTCTATCATTTTTTTTAAACAATATGAGAAATCGTCGTGAGTCGGTCGTAAATGCGAATTCGCGCAAAAAGACAGGCTTGTTTTTTTCCGTCTAAGAGTAGCAAGAAGTTCACGCGGGATACGGTGGCAGGACACATTTTACCTTGACATTCTAGGATCCTAATGTCAGCAGGTACCTGGTCACCGGTCTCCAACAGGACGATGTCCCCGACTACCAGCTCGGTCACCAGCAACTCCTTTCTCTCGCTATCCCGTAGAACCTTGGCATGTTGCGGTATCATCTGCTGGAACGATTCCATGATGCGCGAGCTCTTAGAGTCTTGATAGTAACTGAACATGCCAGTGATCATGATCAGTACAATTAGAGCTAAAGCGATCCAGAGGTGATCTTCGGCAGCTTCACCATAAGTATGCAATTCCAAGAAATAGTTGCCGAAGCACAAAATGGCACCTACCTGAAAATTAAATATATTTTGGACTTTCTAAAAGCTTTCCTTAAAAAAATCTTTTTAATGATATATGGTATCTAATGATAATAATTAATAAATTGCTTTTCTTATTAGTCAATTAATTTTTTACACAAAAAATTGTCACACAATTATGACAATTTAATATATGTAACAATTAAAAAAATGATGTCATTTAATAAATAAGTAAATATTAATTTAGAATTAATATGATCTTAAAAATAATGGATACGTAATTAAATACTGATACAAAAAATTCAAAATTTGAAACTTTTCTTTTAGAAATTTTGTTGGATTTGATATTATATTATTATATACATTTAAACATAGTTTACACAAAGTAAATAGAATAAATAAATAATTATTTATCAAAATTAAACAAAAAATATATCGTAACTTTTGCAAAAGTAAATATTAAAGAAAAAGCACATGCTTTCTTTCTCTCTTTTTATTTCTCTTTATAATACTTCAATTTAACATTATTTTCAAAATAGAAAAAGTTCGTAATAGGAAAAATCAAAAATTGCTACCCATATTAATGAGGAAAATCCTCCGCAGAATCGATGGAAGATTTTCTGAATCTCCAAGGTTTTTTTTGGCGGAGTTAATGCGTTTGGTCCCTGATCTCGTAGGCGATTTCTCGCAACGATTGTAGACAAACCTCGTTCAGAATCCACTTGTAAGCTTTCCAGTAATTCCGCTGCCGATTTAATATGCACATCCGTGTCGATATCCTGACGAAGAGCATCCAGACCATCACGATTGCGCTGCTGTTGCGCTTTGCGAAAAAATCGCCACATTTTTTACACACGCGAGTAAAATTGCTTAAAAAAATGTTTTCAAAATTTAAAATGTGTATATCAAAATTAAAACGCATATTTTTCTAAAAAAAAGTGTCAGGAACAGACACGTGAAGTTACATCAGATAATCAGAAACTGTGATAATCGATTTGTTTTTCGTTGTCATTTTCTGAGATCGATTGTGACGCGTTAAACGCAGGAAAATAAGAAAGAAAAGAGGAGAACCTTTGCATTGTTTTTCTTTTTATTACATACTTTTTATTAATCTATAATTATATTTATAATGTAGGTAATATCTTCATATTTAAAATGTAAAAAATCAAGAAAGCGAGATGTGATAAATATTTGCTTTTATTTATAAATAACATTAATATAGAAAATTTATTTTTCTCATTTCTTTACAGACGTTCAAATTCTTATTTAATAAAAATAGCTCCTATTTAATATAGTTTTTGACAGAGTTTTTTTCAATTTGCCGCTTAATTTTTTATTACGTCCAAGAGAGGATATTCAAATAAAAAAAAATAGCAAAACGCGTCGAAGATAATGGTGTCAGTGCTGACTGTAGAGTTTTTGTCATAGTTTTCGGATCATCGGCTAATAATTTAAATTAATTCTTGCTGCACGAGACACAAAAGTGTTTTAATATAATACTTTTTATAAGAATTTCAGAAATAGTTTTTGTAAATTCTTTAGAAACTTTGTAAGAATTATACTGTAAAGTGCTTAAATATTAAATTATATGCATATCAACTAACAAGTACTGAACGGCAGAATAAACATAGATATGATCTAGATTACTGCTTTATTCTCGCGGGATCTTTATTTATACGTATGTATTATTACAGAGCAAACATTACTATTTTTACAATATGATGTCTTTGTAATAGCTTCCAAGATATTTAATGGATGCTTTTTGTTTACGACGCTTTTAACGACGTGTCAACTTGAGTTGAAGCTGATAACTTCGATTAAGTGTTTCATGTAGTAGCTAAGTATATAGAGAGAAGTTAATGCGCACAATATAATGTTTTTTGTAAATTGAAGGTACGTAAAGTTGTGTGTTTTTGTAATATTAATAATATAATCTGTTAAAAATTATTCATCAATAAGAATACGCGGTAAGTATCGACAAAAAGGAATCCAGTTCCGATGATTTTAACTTTGATGTTGGCAAGATTATGATTCTGAATAACTTTGAAAAGGTTTTAGTCATCGCTATCCATTAAAAAGTTAATAATAAAAAACGTATCTTTTGAATACGACTCTGCTCCAATGAAATAAATTCTCTGCTTTAAAAACGCAAATTATTTTTTAATATAATTATTGTGTTTTTAAATAAGAAAATTCTTGTTTTAAAGCAGAAAATTTATGTTTTAAAAAAAAAGAGACTTTTCACGCGAAGTGAGATCCAACCCAATTTCCTCCATATCTAGAGGCAAAACCAGATCTATGTGTAATGTAATGTAATTTCACATATATGGGTTTTCAAATATACACACTTTATTATTCGTAATATACCTTCTAGGCCAATATCATTTGTGCCTATATATTATAAAATTTTAATTTCCTTTATCTCATAACTAAAACGAATACCGTCCTCCATTTAATTGTTGTTTGAGTTATTATTCAGAATATTCATACTGATATGTTGCCATTAATTTGCCATCGCAAGAAATCAAATTCTATTGAGTTCAACGTGACAGACATAATACTATATCATCTTGTCCTGAGTTTGTCAAAATTGATTGCTGCGTTTTCGACAACGTGTTAGCAAATACATTGCTGTTTGAGATTATTCATATACAAAAATTTTTTGCAATTAGTATAAAGCAGAACAAGCGATTTATACACAAAAGTTTTTCGTAATTAAAGTAGAACAGGTCGCAATAACATCAAAATGACATTAAACTGAATTGAACAAAAAATGACTTTTAGTAAACATTTTGGAACTATTTTAACATTTTGTTTTGTTTAAGTATGTCTTTCAATTTATTGTATGACAAATTTTAAAAACATTTCTATTTAAACATTTTATATGACATGTTGTAGAATCCTATCAAAATTGTTACACATAATGGGACGTGAAAGATTTCTGGGATTGAAACATTTCTGAAACTTTCTGCAATAATCGACTGTATGGATTATGATATGTGTCTAAATAAAGCTGTAATGATGTACTATGATGTTATTATTCTGTATTCTACCTGGGAAATAATTTTATTTATTTAATGGCTTTTTTATGGATTTTTAAAATTATTCTTTATATTATAATAAAAGTATAACGTCATGATCGTATATTTTGCAATGATTGCCATTGTGAATACTGGAGATTTAATAAACAGTAACAATATAATTATGACTTGTGATAAATTAATTCCGTTTTTACATAAATTTTATGATTTTACTCTTACATGTCCTTTCTTATAATTATACTATTTGATCAATAAGAGTCCTATATGTTAGTAAAATTTAAAAATTAATATTACGTTTACTTAATATTTTTAAGAAACATTTAAAATTTAAAAAACATATATTTAAAAATAAATATTAGTAAATTTATTGATATAGGATTATCAAAAATAAAAATTTTAGCGCTGCAAATCTACATTGTACTATAATATAGTAACAACATATTCTGTGATTTCACATAATTGCAATTCTGTAGTAAATGAGCTATTGCACTTTATTGTTAACAGAACAAACAAGAAAGACATTTCCATGTCAGTAAAACAATTATAAATGTATATCATCCAAATATTCGATAACAAAATATTGGCGACAATTACAATCAAACGACACCATTGTAAATAATTTAAGGATTATAATAAATTTTATATACTGCATATTTTTTGTAAATAAAATGAACGAGGACGTGAATTGTCGCGTTGCAACGAATACGGGAGTTAAATAAAAGAAATTGGAATACAAACTAAAGTAATTTATTAATAAACATAAATCAAAATGTAATACAATGAATTATATAATAAGTTTATGAAATCAAAAATAATTGATATGATTAATTAAAATAAAAAAGTTTGAAAGAATAATATTCACAGTTTTATCATAATTGTACCATTATTATTTAAATATCACTTATTAAGAACTTTAAGGATGACAGGATTACTCTCCTTACTAATAATTTTTACATACTAACCAATTACAAATATTATTGAAATTGCTTACGTCAGTAATATAATGATTTGTAGAACTATCGTGCTGCGAATTGTGAATTATAAAGTCATGAAGACAGTACGTACAACGCTTAAGATTCTTTGCATCTACAAGAATAAATTTTTAAAATTTTAATTGTCTTAGCCATTTCAATTTAATGTGACAAAAAAGAAATGGAAGACAAGAAAGATATTTCAATACAAAAAGAAATAATTAGACAATGACCAAAGTTCGATCAGAAAAGTTATCTGCTTACTGATTGCAACTTCCTTTGGTGCTCCCACAATATGTATGCTCAATTTTCTAAGTTTGTTTCGTGTGTGCTTTCTGAAAAATGTTTTCAGTTTATTGATATATATGTTGTCTATTGCAAGCGCTTCCTTCTCACATCTGTCAAATTTGTATTGCCGCTTCATGATCTCACTCCAGTCTCTGTTAACTCTGTTCTTCAGAATGTCGGCAGCGTCATGTTGCTTTGAAGTTTTCAGCCGATCTTTGAAATCATCGAATTTCTGTTCTGAAATTTTTTCTTGTTCCAACATGATTTGAAACGAATTCAGAAATTTCTCGATCCGTTGATCAACGTATTCGGTTGTGCGTTTATCTGTCCGAGTGTAAACAGTTATAGAATATCCTAATACACCGTTAATATTTCTAAAATCGCACGATACATAACTAAGCTTTTCTTGGGTTCGTAGATGATTCATTAACGATTCTTTCATTATCATCTAAAAGTACAACAGACAAACGTGATATCAAATAAAGTCAATTATGGTAATCGGAAATGTTATTCACATTTTATTTACTATTAAAAATAAATATAAATAGAAGATTCCATGTATTTATATGTATAAAATAATGTTATTAAATACTTACGATCACCAGCTCAGTTAAAACCGATAATTCAATCGTAGCATTACCGACTTGATAATAATTTGTTATTACCGAGTTTACATCAGTTTCGTTAATATTTTTTAACTTGAAATGAGATGTGCCTAGAGGTATCTTACTGATTGGAACAACATATATCTCATTATTCAAGTTGCCACAATTAATTTTTTGGTATAATATTGATATAAATTCTTGTATAATATTGATCGTAAAGTCTTTCGTTACGTTGCCTTCTACGAGGCATTGGATGTACAGATTTTCGAAGGATGTTAGAAAATCTTGGAAACTTTCAAAATCACAATCATATAGAGCATTATATTTCTGAACGTGTGAACAGTTGCCGTACTTTAGTATCCATAATTCCATATCTCTACGAAAAAATAAGTTATATGCAGCTATATACAGCTATATATGTTATTAATAAAAAATAATAAGAAATGTAATAAATATTATTGATTTTATTAATTGTTATAATTAATGTTCATCTAATTATTCACTAATTGTTTTTTCCTAGTATTATAATTTTATAATTATTGCAATTATGCTTGGTAATAAAGAGTTCTTACTCGTTGAACTTTTTCGGTTCTATAAATCTGTTGTAGTGTGCCTTACGTTGTTGCACTTTAATAATATTAAACAAGTCCTCCGAAATAGGGACTGGATTCGCTATATAATTTGCAATAACCATTAACCACCTAGACTGCAATATAAATATAATATTTATGTTTCTTCAAATTATATACCTATATATATATATACATATATATATATATACACCCAGTGGAAAATTTTTCTTAGAATTTTTATACGATTTGGAACATTTTTCAGAAATACTCAGAAATAGTCGTATAGTTTATATGTATTTTCAGAATTTTTCATAGATGTAAATTTTCAAATATTCTAAAATTTCTCATCCCATAATTTTAAAAAATGTTTTAACATTCTTTAGATTTTATAATATTTAATTAAAGAAATTAAACTTACAAAAAATCTTTATATGTATTAAAAATCTTACGACAATTAACATATATGGAAAATTTTGAGAAAAGATATAGATTTGTTGAGAAATGTTTCAATTCGTATATATATAAAAAATGTGCGCAAGTTATAAAAATTTTTTTTTTTAGAAAATTATATAGAGATTTTGAGAAGAGTTTTCATCAGGGTAACTTTGCCAACACACGCCTTAAAGATATACTTACTGACAGATTTTCGTTTAACCCGCTCATTTGTATTATAATACCTGTATCTTCTTCATTAACATCGATCTCATAACTAAATCCAGCCGTTACAACCAGATGTAATTCTTCTAGCAATAGATATTTTATTATATTGCAGTACATTTGTAGGAGAGCTGCACTGAAATGTTATTAATATAAATTAAATTTAATAACAAATTAATTTATAAAAATCACAACATATAATAATTACAAGTTAGAGTTTATAATAGATATAATGTATTGTATATAGGGTATATATACTCGATAGACATTGTAGTACTATTATATAATGTATAAATATTGTTACATGTCCAAGCTATTATTTACTTTATTGGTGTTCGGAGATCCGGATTAGAAATGAGGACAATATGAAGATTTATATGGCACACCGGCAGATAAAACTTCGGACGAAACCAAATTTCCGATATAGAATCATTGTATATTTTTACAGGATATTTCGGAACTTCTTCTGATACCGATATAAAAGAGAAATTATTGGTAAGAAATTTATTGCATGATGGTAAATGAAAATTAGACAATGGTTCAATAAATTTCCAGCGTTCGAGCCATTCATTTGGTAACGCGATATCTTTATAATTAATTTTAAAATGCGGTTCGACTATATTTAATTCAAGGTCATTGTTGAAAACCATAATCTTCGCCGTCTCTGGCACTAAGAGATTCAAATATTTTTGTATAGCTTCTGGGTTATACTCGAAATAGATATGCTTTCCAGTTAGATAATCACACGGCTGATAGAAATGCATTCTCTTACATAAATCAAACACATCATCATGCTTACTAAAAAATCTAAAAAAGTATAAGTGCCATATCTTGTGTATTTTAATAGTATTTTTATTTTCTGCATATCTACTTATTCCTAAATTAATTTACCTAAAATTATTATTTCCAATCTTATAAAGCTCATTATAAATACTTTCTTGTGGACCAGTTCTTTTTATGAAATTTATAAAGGAAAATATTGTATCGAGAACGTTTCGCAGATGTTTTAGTCCCTCATCGGTGAGTTCTACTATAATCTCGAACAAAACATACATAGAGTTGTATCCAAAATCATTATCGTTATCACAGTTACCACAAAACACATCAAGGCCCCACATTTTTTTACGTAGATAACTAGTTAAAGAACCATTTCCTTTATGTTCAATAATCCATGAAATATATTCACTTGGTTTGCTTTTGTAATAATTTTGTAATGAAGGCAAAACCCATGTTAGATGCAGCTGTAAATGGCAAGTTTTATTTTTATATGCATTTGGTCAGTAAACACAGATTTTGTTTTAATTTAGGTGTCTAAGTTACATACTTGGTTGATATCATTAATGGGTTTAATCGATTTATATATTTTTTGGAAAGCGTCAGTATCAAATGAATTGCCATCTTTAAATTTGGTAAAGTCATCGGGAGGTATCCAATTACTTGGTAATGGACCAAAGCGGGTTTTGACAAATTCTTCTAATACATCCAGCGAAAATCTTGCCTAAAACAGATGTACGTGTCATGTTATAAACTAACCATATTTAATAAGAAATCAATTGTTCATCGCAATTTTAACATATTATAGTTACTTTTATAACTAGCGTCATTCTGTGAGCGCTATAATGACGATCTCTGAAATTCTGCAGTTGTTCGAACAACTCGTTATCATCTATATCATTGTTTAAAGCTATTGAATTGCTTCGAAGAAACTTACTGGGTGGATGACCAGTTTGAGCAGTAAAAGACAATAATCGTTCTTTTCTACTTTTGTCACTAGATGAATCCAACTGAAATTCTACGTGAACATGGAGCATTAAAACACTGCAAGTTTTATCAACGTCATTACCATTATCAGTTATATACCTTCACGTATGATCTCTCGTTCTCGCTTGATGGCTTTTTTCTTTATATAAAATTCATCGAAAGTAAAAGGAACGAAAGTTGATAACAACTGTGTTTCTGGGATATCAAAATAAAATCTTGTATACTCGCAATCTGTTGCGCTGTAAGTAGTGCCACCACGGAGATTGATAAATTCTTTAAAATCGATTTTCTATAAATAAAATGATATTTAAACATTTAATTATACAAAAAATGTATTTTATAAAAAATTCATTTATCATATTTTAATACATTTGGTTGTTTTTCGGATTCCATAAAAACCATGCGTTGAAGGAAATGTGCCAGTCCTGGAATTTCGGGTGGATCGCTAAAACTGCCTACTCCCACACATAAACTACAAATAACCTAAGTTTAAAAAAAAAATATATATATATACATACATATATATCCATATACTTACTTTGCGTTGTACACCAGAATATTAATATGATACATTAAGCACAAACAATAGTGACATTACCCGTGAACGGTTTACATATTTCTATGAATTTATGAACATTGATTTATTGATAATAGAGGAGTTTTTGCGGATATTGGATATTTTTTAAACAAGAACTCCTGATAGTGGGTGCATTTTGAATTACGCATGATGCATCATTTGTCCTCGTTGTTCATATAACAATAAAAAAGGATAAAATGATACATCATGCGCTTCATGCATAACACGGAACGCATCTGGTATCAAGCATTACTGAAGGAATACGCTATTAGTGCCATTGCGACATTTGATTCTTTCATATCTGATGAACGATAGAGATGGATCGACACAATTGCACTAATAATGCGCTTCTGAACGCTGTTTTAAAGAGATAGCTTATTTATTGTTTATGCTTTTATAAGTTCGATACTATTATTTCAATGAATTTTTAATAACAGATGAAAAATAATACGCTAGAAATATTTAAAAGTGCTAACTGAATTATCTTGTTTATACCTTCCTTACGTCTTATCTTGTTTAACTGAAGAACAACTTACTTTAAAATCTTCATCGTCATTATCTGCTCCTTCCAGACCAGATATTAACAAAGCTGTTAAACCGTTTGCCAGTTTGATGACTCTAAATTTGAAAGACAAAACAATTAACGATATAATGAGAAATTACTGAGGGTCATATAAAGAACCTTAATTCTTTTTTGTAGAAAGTACATTGTTACATTTCTTTTAAAAGATTATCTTCGCACTAAATAATATATCACACATTTTTATTGAAATCGCTTTTTTCGCTGAGTTTCCAATCTAGTTACCTATATCTGGCGTCATGATACTCCGATGTTTCAGGCTGGTCCAGAATTTTATTTGGCATTATATCGACGTGCAAGAAACCGCAAATAGACACAATACGATTTGTACAGAGAACTCAAAAGAGAACTTTTATATGTTCTAACTTCCTTGCCAGTAGACTGGACACAGTTTTAATCAGTACTCTAGTCGACACTTCTTTATTCTGCCTGTTTTCGAACGAACATGAATATGAAGGTCAATTCCAATTGTGTATATACATACATCGTAGCAGAGTGGAAATAGAAATAATAAGCAAAGTCGTTTGTACCCAGTATTCGGACAATTTGAATTTCGGATTTAGCAATAAGCACACGAATTTATTTCTATCTATTTCATTTCCAAAAACTTTAATTTTTAACATGTATTTTGGTATGTTATTCAGAAAGTAGTAAAAAATTACTTAAAATCAAATTTTGAACTATATTATTTCATCTAATCTAATATAATATTGCTTCCATGTTAAATATATAATAGAAAATTTGATAAATATATTGTGTCCAGGAAAATTAAATATTTCGGTGGCAATATTGCCATAAGATATTTATTTGCGAGAATTTGTTCGAAATGACGTATCATACTTCACATTAAAAGTAATTACAGCAAACTTGGGAAATTTTCCATCTTCACAAAACTGATAAAAAATGCGGCTTTTCGAAAATATCTCAGAGGATATATATATTTTGTGAGAATATTTTTTTGAATTAAAAATCATTTGCAATAAGAAAATTAATGAAATTAGGAAAAATTTATTTTAAAATTGTATGATCAATACTTTCGGTGATAGAATTTTTTTTTAAATGTTATATTGTTAGACATTTTGACAATTGGTATTTTTTTCCGTAAATTTGATTACTCAGATTTGATTACTTTTACGTACAAAATAACTCTTATGGAAAATTATTAAATTTTATACAAAATCGTTTTTTATTGACCTGGTACAATAGTTGTCGAGATAAATAAAATTTTTCAAATTGGAATACATTTTAATGAGTAATTTACATGTGACTTATCGTATCTGAAAAATGTACGTAAAAAGTTTTCTTGTATAATTAGCTTGAAAATATTTTTTTTAAATACAGCTAGTTATTTTCGAGATATGGATTACAAAAATATTATTTTTTTTATTTACATTTAATATAGGTTTATATATCAATATGAGTATCCAATCAAACTGGAAAGAATAATATTCTTTTTTTTCAAGGTGTACATATATTTATATATTACGATCCTAGTTGCGTGCCATTCTTCAAAATTTATTTTTGGAAAAACAGCTTTGCGAAAAATTTTTTCAATGATAAAAAAGAAACGATATTCATTGTTCCTTTTTTGTAAAATTGTTTCTTAGTTGTTAAAGATCTAATGTAAAAGGTCTAATGTAAGAATATATCAAACTAATGAATGGTACATATTACAAGATTCTTTAACATTTGTTTTATCTCATTCAAATATTAATTGATTTTAATTTATTAAAAACAGCTCTATATATTTAATTTATGTCGTTTACTAATTAAATGTGAAAAATTAACTAACGTATATTTTTCTAAATATTTATTTAAAATGTAATAACAATTTTCTTATAGCTTTTGTAATACGTAGTAAATAACATTAAATTTTGTAAAAGAAATCAACGTTATGCTTAGTTGAGATTAAATGTTTCCACAATTTTTTATAATTGTGATATTACAATACTTTTATTCCGTAAATTTATTATACAAATGTTGAAATACTTGTCAAATCTTACAAATGATGCCATCTCGAAAAGATCTATTTGTTTTA